AATTGACAACTAGAATGCCAAAGGTCTGCAAGGCTGTAATTGCTGCAAATTGAGGATTCTTTGATGAAAGCAAAGATTGAAGGACACAATTATTATTTCAATAAAAAATCATTATTTCTAACCTTGTCAATGACTACATTTCCTATTCATTTTGCTATATTTCCTATTCAAACCCATTTCATGTATGTTTTCATGGAAAACAAGGACATTTCTAAGTGACCCCAAACTTTTGAATGGTAGTGTGTCCGACACCAAGACAAGACCGACTCACTCAAAATGTCGTCTCGAGACCGTACTCGTACTACAACACTGCTTTCTAACAAAGATATCTACAGTACATATATTTCAGGATGTTGTGTATCCCTGGAAATAATCAGAATTCATGTAAACATAACAGTTTTGAAAACATAGCTTGTCCAAAGTATGAGGTAAATTGGGGTAAGTGGGTGCTTGTGTCCTGTGACAGTGTGTGATGGTGCTGGTAGGTCATAGTTTAATTAATGGAATGGGGTATGGTACAGTATATTGTATATCTTAAATGTATGCTTAACATTCGGATATAGATCTCTCTGTTCAATTTCTTGATCAGTTGTCTGGGACAGGGATGTTGTTTCGATGTGCCAATTTGTAGGCAAGCTCTCTGTATTTGAAGCTACTAAGCCCATGAAACTGATCCACAAGATTCCTGATATGTTTAGCAAGCTCAGGCACCATGTCATCAGATAAGACCTTGTGTGCCTCTGCTATTCTATCATAGTCTCTCTTTAGCACAGTTTGTTTGTTTTCTTTTTTGTCAACGTACCTCAGTCTATTTTTGTCATTCAGTTTATTTTTTCATCCCTCGCTGCTGCTCAAATGGACTTCTTCCCTTGCTGCTCTCTCAAAAACATAAATGAAGGCTAGACCCCTGCTTGTTTTACGTTTGTATAGACGGGGCATGATGATATCGGCTCTGAAACAATAAAAATGAGTTAATATGCATGACACATTGCAAAAACACATTGCAGAGAACACAGGAAGAATTATCACTGAATTATCACAGTGAATTATTGTAATGTTTGTTTATGTGTCAATTAATCCCATAAGGGAGGGGTTGCCAACTGGCGATTTGGCAAGAAAATGAAATGTCATTCATTCATGTCATAAAAAAATATATATATAAGAAAATGTCAGTGATTAATTCATACAAGGATGTACTTTCATGCTAGGCTTAGGACCTCATATTGTAGCTTATAGAGACCACAACTGATGTAGAAAAACAATCTACTTTGGTTTAGATACAAACATCAAGAAGCCTATAACACAATCAATTCATTTGACTTTGTGAAAATACGTTTTTTGGACCTAACTTGCATGCCACTTTTTCCATGTGGTTTCTTCCTTCACATACACCATTAAATTATGACCTCTTCCTAAATATTTGATCACATGATTAATTTTGTGAATGATTTCCTAGAAAAAAATGGGTGTCTCAACTAACCCTTTGGCTCAATTTAACCCACTCTCCCATAGAAGAACTATAAATCAAACACATAATCCAGATGTAGCCTGTTGCAAATATAGGCAATAGGGTCAATAGAGGAAGGATTTTTCAAAATGCACCTAAATCAGCCCCTACAAATGTTGCCTTTTCTCATTAGATATTTTGCACTCTGCATTTTAGTGTAGCTCAAAGTAATATTCTTTGGAGTAATTGCATATTATTGCCAAAATCTCAGTTGCATTACAATTTAAGTGACTCTCGCCATTTAAATGTGATTCAGACTAGACTACACCATTTTCATCATAGGGTGTTTTTCTTGTGAGTACTAATACATTGAAGTTCATTTCAGTACAATGTTAATTACTATAATACAGCGTTTTATAAGTAGGATATTGTAAAGAGTTGAGATATTAGTTAGTGTCCATCTGTACAAATAGATTGACGGAAGGAAAGTTATCCTAAACTATGATTGGATGAGCTCTATTCACGTCACGTGTTGGCGGAAGTAGCAAGAGCAATGTGTGCCAGATGTTTTGCAACATAGCTTCGAAGCAATACAGCCCCTTCAATTGAAAAATCCTATCAACGTGAGTAGCTAGTTGTACTGTTGTTTAACAAACTGCTGAACATCTTTTCATCGTCAATGCAAAACTAACCAATGTTTTCATAATGTAGCTATAGGCCTAGCTAAGTCCAGGGAGACAATTCACTCTGGTGACACTCGCGCCAGATTTGAATGAATGATGCTACCCGGCCGTTAGCTTAAGTTAATATAAATTGTAATTTAAATGGCTAGTTGCGGGACGAAGCTACCCGGCCGTAGAAGGGGTTGAGCCAGAGGTATTTTGCAGTGAAGAGCAACGTATTCAACTACTAGTTATTCAACTGCAGGCCTCAGCAACCTACTACTGTTATAATCATAGCTATTACACTAGAGACGTGACGACACATTTCCACGAGAAACACAGAGCAGCTTTCCATTTCCAGCTTAACGTTCGTGCTATCGGGGATCCTTGGGACGTCCCTACCCCTCATTGAAGTTAAAAATGGTTAGGGAAGGGTTATGGTTAGTGCATATAGGGGTATGGACGTCCCAAGTATCCCGTATAGCTTATGGGGTACTAACGTTAGCTTAGAACTAACCTCGTCGAGCTGGGGTGTAATCATTACGCCTATTCTGTTGCAAAACGTTTTACAACAGAAACCCTTCACTCCAAAATTAAAACGCAAACGAGAGTTTCCATTGGACAAAATCAGGCAGGTCCCGCCCCGTTTCGGTCTGTTTGCTCTGTTTGATTCGTTCGGATCTTAAACGGTAATTGGTTTCCGTAATCAATACACCCCTGATGCTCTCCTGGAAATAAGTAGGCCTAGTATGTGGTGTTATGTTGTATAGTATAAAGGCTGATCATTGCTTCCCATATTGCTACCAAGTTCCCCAGTTATCTGTGTAACTCAAGTTTATTATTTTCCTACAGTTTGTACATGTATTTTATTTTCGAGCGCTTACTGTGTATTTGTTCTTGTTTGTTGCCGCTTCTCGGAGCTCAAACGTACTATGAGACGCGGACGTGTGCGTGTCTTTGGTTTTGAGTGGGTCAAGGTATTTCTACTTGCCTTTACCAGTGTCCTGTAAGGGCTGATGGGGAGACTATGTGGGTACTTAGGCTGGTTTCATTTGAGAACTTTTGTTTTTGTAAGTCCTTTTACCAACATTATTATTTAGTCTACCTCTAGTAGGAGTGTAGGCCAAGGGCAGGAGTAAAGGCTATTTAGAAAATCTGGTTAAATGTGTATTAGCCTTCATACAGTGGGGAAAAAAAGTATTTAGTCAGCCACCAATTGTGCAAGATCTCCCACTTAAAAAGATGAGAGAGGCCTGTAATTTTCATCATAGGTACACGTCAACTATGACAGACAAATTGAGAAAAAAAAATCCAGAAAATCACATTGTAGGATTTTTAATGAATTTATTTGCAAATTATGGTGGAAAATAAGTATTTGGTCACCTACAAACAAGCAAGATTTCTGGCTCTCACAGACCTGTAACTTCTTCTTTAAGAGGCTCCTCTGTCCTCCACTCGTTACCTGTATTAATGGCACCTGTTTGAACTTGTTATCAGTATAAAAGACACCTGTCCACAACCTCAAACAGTCACACTCCAAACTCCACAATGGCCAAGACCAAAGAGCTGTCAAAGGACACCAAAAACAAAATTGTAAACCTGCACCAGGCTGGGAAGACTGAATCTGCAATAGGTAAGCAGCTTGGTTTGAAGAAATCAACTGTGGGAGCAATTATTAGGAAATGGAAGACATACAAGACCACTGATAATCTCCCTCGATCTGGGGCTCCACGCAAGATCTCACCCCGTGGGGTCAAAATGATCACAAGAACGGTGAGCAAAAATCCCAGAACCACACGGGGGGACCTAGTGAATGACCTGCAGAGAGCTGGGACCAAAGTAACAAAGCCTACCATCAGTAACACACTACGCCGCCAGGGACTCAAATCCTGCAGTGCGAGACGTGTCCCCCTGCTTAAGCCAGTACATGTCCAGGCCCGTCTGAAGTTCATTTGGATGATCCAGAAGAGGATTGGGAGAATGTCATATGGTCAGATGAAACCAAAATATAACTTTTTGGTAAAAACTCAACTCGTCATGTTTGGAGGACAAAGAATGCTGAGTTGCATCCAAAGAACACCATACCTACTGTGAAGCATGGGGTTGGAAACATCATGCTTTGGGGCTGTTTTTCTGCAAAGGGACCAGGACGACTGATCCGTGTAAAGGAAAGAATGAATGGGGCCATGTATCGTGAGATTTTGAGTGAAACCCTCCTTCCATCAGCAAGGGCATTGAAGATGAAACGTGGCTGGGTCTTTCAGCATGACAATGATCCCAAACACACCGCCCGGGCAACGAAGGAGTGGCTTCGTAAGAAGCATTTCAAGGTCCTGGAGTGGCCTAGCCAGTCTCCAGATCTCAACCCCATAGAAAATCTTTGGAGGGAGTTGAAAGTCTGTGTTGCCCAGCGACAGCCCCAAAACATCACTGCTCTAGAGGAGATCTGCATGGAGGAATGGGCCAAAATACCAGCAACAGTGTGTGAAAACCTTGTGAAGACTTACAGAAAACGTTTGACCTGTGTAATTGCCAACAAAGGGTATATAACAAAGTATTGAGAAACTTTTGTTATTGACCAAATACTTATTTTCCACCATCATATGCCAATAAATTCATTAAAAATCCTACAATGTGATTTTCTGGATTTTTTTTTCTCATTTTGTCTGTCATAGTTGACGTGTACCTATGATGAAAATTACAGGCCTCTCTCATCTTTTTAAGTGGGAGAACTTGCACAATTGGTGGCTGACTAAATACTTTTTTTCCCCACTGTATATGACACAACATTATTGATAGTGTAGGCTTAGACTGACACCTTAGTTTGATTTGACAGAAAGAGTAGATTTGGTAATGGTTAGAAATTAAACGTTGAGTATATCTCTCACTAGATGCAACGGCGAACTCGCACAGTTAAAGTCTACACGGAAAAGACAACAGATGAAGATTCAGATGAACTGTGAGTTTTAACTTAAGTTAGGAATCGTGTATGGAATTAATTTGATCAAAATTGTGTTGTTGAGTGTGTATTCTAAAGCTTCTATATTCACAGTTCCCCTTTTGATCAGTTTTCAATAACACAAGCCTCTGTTCCCTTAGTAGTCCACACACACAGTCAGAGAGTGAAGATGAGATTGAAGAATGGCAGCCAGAATCCAAGGCCCCCAAGAGGCAGCTGAAAGCTCAGCCAGGCGAGAAGAAGCCAGCGGTGAAGAGGCAGGCTAAACCTAAGGAACCTAAAGAGCCCAAGGAGTCCAAACCCAAAGCCCCACGCAAACCAGTGGAGAGGAAGCCCCGAGCTCCCAGAGCCCCTAAAGAACCCAAACCCCCTAAAGCTCCCAGAGCCCCTAAAGCTCCCAGAGCAGCAAAAGGCAGTAAGAAGCAGCAGGCTCTATTAGAGGAAGAGGCTGGAGGAGCCAATCAGACTAACTCCATCTGTGATGCAGCGGAGTCCCAGCAGTCAGCCAGGGTCAAGGAGGAGGTAAGAGTCCTGAAAACTCTGCACCTGTTTAGTAAGCTTTTATTACTCTAGTAATGATATTGTGTTAATTTTGTTAGACATTACTTGCTTTGTAATTGCATTGCGTTAATGGAGTTGAGTGGTACAGTGTAATACAAACTGCTCAACTTGATTTCTATGAAATTACAACACATTTGGCTGTACATAATGGTAGAGACACCTCACTGACTGACTTCACCACTTTTTATATCAGGTCAGTGTTTATATACTCCTTTCCTGGATGTCTTTCAGAGGCTGTCCTTCATTGTGCCCGATGGATCCTGCAACGACAACATGTCCAGAGCAGGGGGCGGGTGGTCTGAGGGGCCCTCCTCCAGCCATCAGCTTTATGGGTTGAAGAAGGAAGAGCCTGAGGAGGACTTCACGTTCGATGAGCCTTCTCTGAAGAGACAGAAGACCACCAGTGCCCCTCAGGGCAGGCCCACCAGACTGCCCACCTCAGGAAGAGGCTTTGGAGAAGACCTGAACATGAACTGGGACCTTATTCAAGTAAGTCCTTGGAGTAATTCAACAACAAACCATATTTTTCAGCACTAACCTAAATAAACTAAACAGTTGCTATACTGTTGTGCCAAACCACAAAATATGTAAATAGCTGGTCTGACTGAATGGCACCTTAAAATCCCCTGAAAAGTAGTTGACCATTGCAAGCAATGTATGTTTCCAGATGAATCTAGTATTATGCACATGGTACTTTGATTCCACTGTGATGATGCATTCTCCTCTGTGTGTTGTCAGTTGCTGTCTGAGAGGACAGGGGTGGAGCAGTGGGTGTGTTTGAACATTTCCCAGCTCTTCAGAGAGGAGAACACCATTCCCTTTATAGTGCGCTACAGGAAAGAGATGATCAACCACATGGACGCAGACGCCGTGAGGGACTTGCAGCTGGTGCTGGAGGAGATCTAGTGAGGAACTTATTAGTGGGGAGCTATACTAGTTTATTAGACTGGAATAGAAAATAGTATTTGACTTCACCATAAGTAACATAAGATAATCAAACAAACATTTCATAATACCCAGTCGTGTAAAGTACTTAAGTAAAAATACTTGAAAGTACTACTTAAGTAATTTCTTTGGGTATATGTACTTTACTATTTATAATGTTGGACTACTTTTACTTTTACTCCATACATTTTCCTTGACACCCAAAAGTACTCGTTACATTTTGAATGCTTAGCAGAACAGGACAATTGTCTAATTCACACACTTATCAGGAGAACATCCCTGGTCATCCCTACTGCCTCTGATCTGGCGGACTCACTAAACACATTTGTAAATGATGTCTGAGCATGCCCCTGGCTATATGTAAAATAAAATAAAACAAGAAAATGGTACGGCCTGCTTTGCTTTATATAAGGAATTTTTACTTTTGAAACTTAAGTATATTTTAGCAATTACATTTACTTTTGATACTTAAGTATATTTAATACCAAATACTTTTAGACTTTTACTCAAGTAGTATTTTACTGGGTGACTTTTACTTGAGTCATTTTCTATTAAGTTATCTTTACTTTTACTCAAGTATGACAATTGGGTACTTTTTCCACCTCTGATAATACCCTGCATACTGTATATTTGTATGTCTGCATAAATAACTTACAAGCAGTCAGTGCAATGACAGACCATCCCCATTAGATGGCGTCAATTAGACAAGTTGGGTAATATTATAGTTGGAGATTGTTCAGAGTATTTCATCTGTGTTTGTGTGTGTGTGTGTGTCCATGCATGTTTGATCTGTGTGATCCTGTGATTTCTCTAGTGCACTGGCGAAGAAGGCGCAGACTATCAGTCAGACTCTGAAGAAGGAGGGAGTCCTGACTGCTGAGCTGGAGCGGGCTCTGAGGAACTGCAGGACCGCTGATGAACTGGACCACGTGGTGAGTGAGAGCAGTCTACTTAGGGTTGCAAAGGGATGGAATGTTACCAGTATTTTTTATTTTTTTACCAGTAAACTACCGGAATTCTGGAAACTTTCAAGGATTTTAGGGAGTTTTCATATAATGTCAAACATTATCCTAAATATAACCCATCAACTTCATGAATTCCGTTCATGTTTAATATTTTTCCATAGATTACCAAAATTACCTATTAATAACCAACATTTCAGAATATTCCAACTTTGGTAAATTACAGGGAGTTTTGCAACTCTAGGTCTACTGACCAGAACTGGACCGTGCATGTACAGTTGAAGTCGGAAGTTTACATACACCTTAGCCAAATACATTTAAACTCAGTTTTTCACAATTCCTGACATTTAATCCTAGTAAAAATTCCCTGTCTTAGGTCAGTTAGGATCACCACTTTATTTTAAGAATGTGAAATGTCAGAATAATAGTAGAGAGAATGATTTATTTCAGCTTTCATTTATTTCATCACATTCCCAGTGGGTCAGAAGTTTACATACACTCAATTAGTATTTGGTAGCATTGCATTTAAACTGTTTAACTTGGGTCAAACGTTTTGGGTAGCCTTCCACAAGCTTCCCACAATAAGTTGGGTGAATTTTGGCCCATTCCTCCTGACAGAGATGGTGTAACTGAGTCAGGTTTGTAGGCCTCCTTGCTCGCACACGCTTTTTCAGTTCTGCCCACAAATGTTCTATAGGCTTGAGGTCAGGGCTTTGTGATGGCCACTCCAATACCTTGACTTTGTTGTCCTTAAGCCATTTTGCCACAACTTTGGAAGTACGCTTGGGGTCATTGTCCATTTGGAAGACCCATTTGTGACCAAGCTTTAACTTCCTGACTGATGTCTTGAGATGTTGCTTCAAGATATCCACATAATTTTCCTTCCTCATGATGCCATCTATTTTGTGAAGTGCACCAGTCCCTCCTGCAGCAAAGCAACCCCACAGCATGATGCTGCCACCCCTGTGCTTCACGGTTGGGATGGTGTTCTTCAGCTTGCAAGCTACCCCCTTTTTCCTCCAGACATAACGATGGTCATTATGGCCAAACAGTTCTATTTTTGTTTCATCAGACCAGAGGACATTTCTCCAAAAATTACGATCTTTGTCCCCATGTGCAGATGCAAACGGTAGTATGGCTATTTTGTGGCGGTTTTGGAGCAGTGGCTTCTTCCTTGCTGAGCGGCCTTTCAGGTTATGTCAAAATAGGACTCGTTTTACTGTGGATATAGATACTTTTGTACCTGTTTCCTCCAGCATCTTCACAAGGTCCTTTCCTGTTGTTCTGGGATTGATTTGCACTTTTTGCACCGAAGTACGTTCATCTCTAGGAGACAGAACGCGTCTCCTTCCTGAGCGGTATGACGGCTGCGTGGTCCCATGGTGTTTATACTTGCGTACTATTGTTTGTACAGATGAATGTGGTACCTTTAGGCGTTTGGAAATTGCTCCCAAGGATGAACCAGACTTGTGGAGGTCTACATTTTTTTTTTCTGAGGTCTTGCCTGATTTCTTTTGATTTTCCCATGATGTCAAGCAAAGAGGCACTGAGTTTGAAGGTAGGCCTTGAAATACACTGCTCAAAAAAATAAAGGGAACACTTAAACAACACAATGCAACTCCAAGTCAATCACACTTCTGTGAAATCAAACTGTCCACTTAGGAAGCAACACTGATTGACAATACATTTCACATGCTGTTGTGCAAATGGAATAGACAACAGGTGGAAATTATAGGCAATTAGCAAGACACCCCCAATAAAGGACTGGTTTGCAGGTGGTGACCACAGACCACTTCTCAGTTCCTATGCTTCCTGGCTGATGTTTTGGTCACTTTTGAATGCTGGTGCTTTCACTCTAGTTATAGCATGAGACGGAGTCTACAACCCACACAAGTGGCTCAGGTAGTGCAGCTCATCCAGGATGGCACATCAATGCGAGCTGTGGCAAGAAGGTTTTCTGTGTCTGTCAGCGTAGTGTCCAGAGCATGGAGGCGCTACCAGGAGACAGGCCAGTACATCAGGAGACGTGGAGGAGGCCGTAGGAGGGCAACAACCCAGCAGCAGGACTGCTACCTCCGCCTTTGTGCAAGGAGGAGCAGGAGGAGCACTGCCAGAGCCCTGCAAAATGACCTCCAGCAGGCCACAAATGTGCATGTGTCTGCTCAAACGGTCAGAAACAGACTCCATGAGGGTGGTATGAGGGCCCGACGTCCACAGGTGGGGGTTGTGCTTACAGCCCAACACCGTGCAGGACGTTTGGCATTTGCCAGAGAACACCAAGATTGGCAAATTCGCCACTGGCGCCCTGTGCTCTTCACAGATGAAAGCAGGTTCACACTGAGCACATGTGACAGAGTCTGGAGACGCTGTGGAGAACGTTCTGCTGCCTGCAACATCCTCCAGCATGACCGGTTTGGCGGTGGGTCAGTCATGGTGTGGGGTGGCATTTCTTTGGGGGGGCCGCACAGCCCTCCATGTGCTCGCCAGAGGTAGCCTGACTGCCATTAGGTACCGAGATGAGATCCTCAGACCCCTTGTGAGACCATATGCTGGTGCGGTTGGCCCTGGGTTCCTCCTAATGCAAGACAATGCTAGACCTCATGTGGCTGGAGTGTGTCAGCAGTTCCTGCAAGAGGAAGTCATTGATGCTATGGACTGGCCCGCCCGTTCCCCAGACCTGAATCCAATTGAGCACATCTGGAACATCATGTCTCGCTCCATCCACCAACGCCACGTTGCACCACAGACTGTCCAGGAGTTGGCGGATGCTTTAGTCCAGGTCTGGGAGGAGATCCCTCAGGAGACCATCCACCACCTCATCAGGAGCATGCCCAGGCGTTGTAGGGAGGTCATACAGGCACGTAGGCGCCACACACCACTGAGCCTCATTTTGACTTGTTTTAAGGACATTACATCAAAGTTGGATCAGCCTGTAGTGTGGTTTTCCACTTTAATTTTGAGGGTGACTCCAAATCCAGACCTCCATGGGTTGATAAATTTGATTTCCATTGATAATTTTTGTGTGATTTTGTTGTCAGCACATTCAACTATGTAAAGAAAAAAGTATTTAATAAGATTATTTCATTTATTCAGATCTAGGATGTGTTATTTTAGTGTTCCCTTTATTTTTTTGAGCAGTGTACATCCACAGGTACACCTCCAATTGACTCAAATGATGTCAATTAGCCTATCAGAAGCTTCTAAAGCCATGACATCATTTTCTGGAATTTTCCAAGCTGTTTAAAGGCACAGTCAACTTAGTGTTTGTAAACTTCTGACCCACTGGAATTGTGATACAGTCTGTAAACAATTGTTGGAAAAATTACTTGTGTCATGCACAAAGTAGATGTCCTAACCGACTTGCCAAAACTATAGTTTTTAATAACTCCAATCTAAGTGTATGTAAACTTCCTACTTCAACTGTATGTGATCTGGACCTGAACTGGACCATGTGATGACTGACTCACT